ATTCTGAAACCAATATTGTTTGCTGATGATACTACCCTCATCTACTCTAACCCCAATCCACATACACTAAATAATGTTGTTAATAATGAACTAAAAAAAGTCTACTCATGGATGTCAACCAACAAACTAACACTTAACATAGAAAAGACCTACTACATCTTATTTGGAAGCAAATCTACAAATGCAATTCAGCTTCAGATAGACAATGTAAATATTAGCAATAAAAATGATGGAAAGTTTCTTGGCCTATTCCTAGACAAGAGACTCAACTTCAGCACCCATATACAACACATAACTAAGAAAGTCTCTAAAACAGTTGGTATATTCTCCAAAATCAGATATTATGTACTTAACTCTGCTCTCATCTCTCTATATTATGCATTAATCTATCCCTATCTTAATTATGGTATCTGTGCATGGGGTTCAACCATTGCAAACCACCTCAAGTCCATCATCACCCAGCAAAAATCTGCTATCAGAATAATAACAATTTCTGCTTTCAGACAACACTCAGCCCCCCTTGTTTAACTCCCTAAACATGCTAAACATAATCTCACTCCACAAATTCACTTGTGTCAACTACATTTACAAAACCCTGTTCTATTACACCTATCAAGGAAAAGTTTCAGATCAAGATTAGCATTTAGGAACAAGGGTTTTGTACATGTAGATAACACACGAGAATGTGTAGAGTGAGTATATGTTTAGCATGTTGAGGGACTTAACAGAGGGGCTGCGAGTTAGGTTCTTTTAATTGCCTTATTCAATTTAACGAATAAAAAGGTTTTCGTGCCTTAACATCTTTATATTATGATACTCACGATATATCTGCATTAAAATCAGTGTGCAATTCCGGTTTTGGCCTCCACCGTCTTCTCACTTGTTCCCTTGTAACTTGTAACTCACTTCTAACACTTGTATGCTGTGCTCCGTATATTAACCTGCTATGTTAAATGGGATTCTTGTATTGTGATTTGTGTATTTGTACTCACTGAATTTGTGCGCCCCTTGATAGACTTGAAGTAGAGGGGGGTAGAAATAACCTAAGCTACTCTAGCCTTTTTAGATGTATTTTTTTATTGTCTCAATAAACATACTTGAACTTGAAGTGGACTTTAATGTTTTTTCGGCAGCTTTATTTCCTTAGTTTCCGAGCTGTTTTCTTTACCGTGTATGTTATAATAAACTATTCCTATATTTACAGTTGTTTCTCCCTGTGAAGATTATTAAACAATGGTGATTGTAAGGGCGCGGAAGTTCAGCCTGTCCAGGGCCGCCAGCAGCCCTTGGGCCCGCCCCGGCAGCACCCAGTCTTTAATTTGGCACCTTTGTGGGACCTTTGTGGAACCTTGGTATAAGCCTAACCTGTATATATACACTGGCTGCTTGTCGCCCCTACACAATGATTTATTATTACCTATTATTTTATCATTTAATTTAAATATTAAATAAAATAATTTATTTAATTATTATAGTAAGTACTTAATAATTTAATAATAAGTAGTAAGTACATAAAAATGATTAAAAAGTACAGTTTAGTCATAGGAGATCCCTAGATTGGAATTCACTACCAAATTTCGATATATCCAAGTATTTTTAGTGTGAAATACTGTTATTATATGCATAAATTGTTGTTTTAATGATATTACGCTTAACCACTTGGGCTGGACGGTAGAGCGACGGTCTCGTTTCCTACAGGTCCGCGTTCAATCCCCGACCGCCCAAGAGATTGGGCACCATTCCTTTCCACCGTCCCATCCCAAATCCGTATCCTGATCCCTTCCGAGTGCTATATAGTCGTAATGGCTTGGCGCTTTCACTTGATAGTTCCCCCACCCCTGAATAATATTACGAGAGCAGTATTTACGGGCTATTCATACCCGTGCCACCTCTTGGGTGGCTTAATCTTCATCAATGGAGAGCAGTACGTCCTAACCAGACATTATATAATGATATCCTGAACAGTTGATAAATAAAAGTAATTGCGGAACTCCAGTTATCTAATACTTATCATAAACTTTACAAGACTGTAATTACCATATTTGTATCCTCACATTCCTTATGTACATTCTTGTATATGCATAAATAAATAAATAAATAAATAAATGGTATAAAACCTTATCATAAGCCAAGGGATTTGTAGATCAGTGTTTAAAAGGGAATTCGGAAGTAATAATAACACAGCTGATGCCATCTGTAGGCAGAAGAGAACACTATCAACTGGCTGGTCAATAGTAGCTATAAGATACAGCTTACGCCATCTGTTGACATCAAATTACACCTATAACAAATTACCCTGCAAAATACAACTAACGCCATCTCTATTTTTTCCAACGCACTATAAATAGCCAAACAGCAACCCATAAGGTGGGTTGTTGTGCTCGGGTAGGAGATTCCAAGCTCCGCCCACAAGTGGTATGGGGTGCATAATAAATGGCATATCATTGGTAGATATTCTTTGTTGACATTCACACAGCAGCCAATCACAGGAAGGGATCAGCTAAAGGCGCCATCCACTTAATAAATCATCGTTATTCAGCACACCATCCTTGCTTATGACATTCTGCTTCAACTTTAATCTACTTAAAAAGTGAAATGTTAAGTATTTAAAAGTATTAATATAGTGATAATTAAATATTGCAGGATGTAACGAGTGTTACAGAAACATGGACTGGCTACCTGACTTGTGGCGTCATCAGTGGGAGTTGCCTCACACAAATAATGCCTCCGCCCTCTTATTGGTCTGCATTATTCAGTTAAATGGAAATTTCTGTCTTGTATAAAACAGAAATTGTTGTTCTTTTGTACAACAACAAGGTTATTGAGCAAAAGGACGTATTTCTTATTTTGCATTTTATTCATATAAGCGTTGGCATTCCCCGTAACAGCCAATCACAGGAAGGTATTTGTTGGAAACTCTGCCTTCAACAAAGTTGATCCCTAATGAACTCTAACAATAAATTCGTTTAATAAACGAGTATTTAGGGTCAAGCTACAGATGAACATTATAGGATAATGGTGTTTTAGCTTGCAGCTTCGTTAGACAGAATTCCTGGTCTTAATTTTAAAAATAAAGAACTAGAAAGCGTATTTTATTGCTAACTTGCTAACTTTTCGAGAAATAAGTCCCAGTCTCATATTTGCGAACATTTATGTATTGATTTTTTGGCTTAAGTTTTTATCATAATTCCTTTTGCAATCTCAACACCATATGGCTTGTATCTTGTAACTATCTTCGTTACTTAGCCTCAAAACCTTACATTTGTCTTACATATCCTCAACAGTAGATAAAAAAAAAATAATTGCAGAATTCTAGTTACCTAATACCAGCATGGTATAAAATCTTATTATAAGCTACCAGACGTATAGATCAGTGTTTAAAGTAATAATAATACAATATTATTAAACATAAAAATATAAGGAAGGGAGTACCACCTCTGGCTGGAAGAAGGGGGACCCATAGCCTCGGAGGAAACCACACATAACGCATTGGAGGGAATGTAGGTCCCCTCCAATACAGTTTCTGTGTGCTTTTCTCCTACCACCCCCTTCCCTTTTTTTTCCTTTATTGTGTATTTAAAGGTTACAAAACATACACGACAAATGCCTAAAGGTTATGGATCTCTTGAAGCTCCTCCGCTTCTGGACAGGAACCGAGGACGCAGCAAGCATTTCCCCTCTGGATCGCCACACTGAGACGCTGAAATAAAAAACTGGAAGCCCTTGGGTCTCTGGTGACGTCAATGAGCTTGGAACCCAATTCTTTGAGAAATCCCAAGGCACTCTTGCCCCAGGGGCCATGCGTCTCAGACGCTATGGGAACAAAGAGGTATTGACCTTCCAGTCGCCTGTACTTGAGTGATTTTGCTGTTTCCCTGTGGTTGGCCGCCCCACCTGCTTGATCAGCTCCGAAGTGTACATAGGTGTCAGCCAGGGTGGATACACATGTGTAGTCCCACACCAACTGTCTACCCTCCTTCCATGAGTATATGGTGATGCCGTCAGGGCGAAGTGCGGGGAAATCCGGGTTTTGGACCCCTAGGATGCGAGGTTCTCTCTCCGCTGGGCACCCAGCTGAGACGAGGCTTCTCTTGATGATGTCATTGACCTCGTTGTGTCTTGCATGCCAGCCCTTTGTGCTTCCGCAATGCAACCCATGCAGTCCGTATTGGTCTGCTTCCACCCTGTTGCAAATACACTTGTATTCAGTGTGAATTGGGGCACCAAGGCGGAGGGCCACTGCTACACGAAGGGATTCTGGATCTAGGCGCGTGCCCATTGCTGACATGGGTACTGCCAGGAGGAAGTCTCCTCCTATTATTAATGTAATAATGTAATTAATGTAATACATATTATTAATGTAATAATATTATTAAAATAATAATAATACAGCTGATCCCATCTGTCGGCAGATAAGAACACTATCAACTGGCAGGTCAACAGTAGCCATAAGATACGGCAAGTATATATAAATATATATATATATATATATATATATATATATATATATATATATATATATATATATATATATATATATATATATATATATATATATATATATATATATATATATATATATATATATATGTATGTATGTATGACTAACCCATCCTGTGAGATGAGAATATTGGATGAACTTAATTATAGGTAGCAGTTTAGTCAGTGCTGGTTTGTTTTTGTATTAAGGCATGCATTATCTTCCCCTAATTCCATATATGACTAATCATCCTGCGAGATGGGAATAACAGTTGAACCTATAGCTAGTTCTTGATCTACACTGTGTAATATCTCATATAGAATAGGGTAGCTGCAAATTGCTGTGTATACCCAATTTTGCTAATTAAAAAAAATGAATAACCATTCTGTGAGATGGGAATATTAGATGAACTTATAACTAGTTTTTTTATCCACACTGTGTAATCAATCATCTAGAAAAGGATAGCAACATACTGCTTTGTATACCTAAGGTTGTTAAAAAAAAAAATGGCGTAGTAACCCCTGGCGGGAGGCGGAAGAGGGCGTCCGTCGACCTGTCAGTGTGTCCGTAGCCGCAGGTGAGCGCGGGTGCACTCTCGTCGGGGCCTGTTATACACGCCAGGTAACTAGAATATGACGGCTCTTGTCTTGGAAATGATTGATAGCGAGTTATTTGTTTCCCATGATAGCGTGGTTGAGCGGAGCCATGAAGGAAATAATTAAAACGTACCATTCGTGAGGCCTTGAAGTTCAATATGTTGAAAGTAAATAGTCTTGTATATTTTTATTATGACGCGCCTCTGGTGTCTCGTCAGTTGTTGTGTGTTCTTTGAAAGACGATTTGTTTCATAATGTTTTTTCACAGGAGCAGGAGACGGTACCTGCTGGTTACACGGAAGCTGTGGGGGATGGTTACTCCCATGCATATGGTAGCTGTGGGGGACGGGTACTCCCAGGTATACGGTAGCTGTGTGGGGATGGTTACTCCCAGGTATACAGTAGTTGTGGTGGGCGGTTACTCCCAGGTATATGGTAGCTGTGGGGGGCGGTTACTCCCATGCATACGGTAGCTGTGGGGGGCGGTTACTCCCATGCATACGGTAGCTGTGGGGGACGGTTACTCCCAGGTATATGGTAGCTGTGGGGGACGGTTACTCCCATGCATACGGTAGCTGTGAGGGACGGTTACTCCCATGCATACGGTAGCTGTGGGGGACGGTTACTCCCATGCATACGGTAGCTGTGGGGGACGGTTACTCCCATGCATACGGTAGCTGTGGGGGACGGGTACCCCCATGCATACGGTAGCTGTGGGGGACGGGTACCCCCATGCATACGGTAGCTGTGGGGGACGGTTACTCCCATGCATACGGGAGCTGTGGGGGACGGTTACTCCCATGCATACGGTAGCTGTGGGGGACGGTTACTCCCAGGTATATGATAGCTGTGGGGGACGGTTACTCCCATGCATACGGTAGCTGTGAGGGACGGTTACTCCCATGCATACGGTAGCTGTGGGGGACGGTTACTCCCATGCATACGGTAGCTGTGGGGGACGGTTACTCCCATGCATACGGTAGCTGTGGGGGACGGTTACTCCCATGCATACGGTAGCTGTGGGGGACGGGTACCCCCATGCATACGGTAGCTGTGGGGGACGGTTACTCCCATGCATACGGGAGCTGTGGGGGACGGTTACTCCCATGCATACGGGAGCTGTGGGGGACGGTTACTCCCATGCATACGGGAGCTGTGGGGGACGGTTACTCCCAGGTATATGGTAGTTGTGGGGGACTGTTACTCCCATGCATATGGTAGTTGTGGGGGACGGTTACTCCCATGCATATGGTAGCTGTGGGGGACGGTTACTCCCATGCATATGGTAGCTGTGGGGGAGGATTACTCCCAGGTATATGGTAGCTGTGGGGGGGATGTTTACTCCCATGCATATGGTAGCTGTGGGGGGATGTTTATTCCCAGGTATACGGTAGCTGTGGGGGACAGGTACTCCCATGCATACGGTAGCTGTGGGGGACAGTTACTCCCATGCATACGGTAGCTGTGGGGGACGGGTACCCCCATGCATACGGTAGCTGTGGGGGACGGTTACTCCCATGCATACGGGAGCTGTGGGGGACGGTTACTCCCATGCATACGGGAGCTGTGGGGGACGGTTACTCCCATGCATACGGGAGCTGTGGGGGACGGTTATCCCCATGCATACGGTAGCTGTGGGGGACGGTTACTCCCAGGTATACGGTAGCTGTGGGGGATGTTTACTCCCAGGTATATGGTAGCTGTGGTGGATGGTTTCTCCCATGCATATGGTAGCTGTGGGGAACGGTTACTCCCATGCATATGGTAGCTGTGGGGGACGATTACTCCCAGGTATACAATAGCTGTGGGGGACAATTACTCCCAGGTATACGGTAACTGTGGTGGATGGTTTCTCCCAGGTATATGGTAGCTTAGGGAAATTGTAAGGTCTTGATATAACTTGATATATACCAAAGAGATGAGCATGAACTCCACAAATGGTCAGATGTCTGGCAAGTGCTCTTTAATGTCAATAAATGTAAGACCTTGCATGTGGATGCATAACAATCTGCATCACATCTACCCAATTGACAGCACTACCTTACAACGGATAGATGAAGTAAAGGTCTTTCAACTGTAAAAGTCTGGTGTGCCCCCGCCTGGATTATTGCATCCAGGCATGGAGACCTCATCTCCAGAAACACAGCTGCTTTGGAGAAGGTGCAACACCGGGCAACAAGAATCATACCAGTGCTTGGTCATCTCTCGTATCTGGAACGGTTGGGGGCCACTGGGCTAACAACAATGCAGACAAGTCATTACAGGGTGGCTCTAATAGAAACCTTCAAAATACTAAACAATTTGGACGATGTCGATCTGGACACTTCAAAAGGTCAGATGTAACACAATGAGGAGCAACGTTCAAGCTCAACAAGCTACAATGTAGGACAGAAAACAGGAGATGCTTTTACACCCATAGGGTTGTAAACCCGTGGAACTGCCTTCCCACTGAAACCGTAAATGCCAAAACTGCTGGGTTTTAAAATAGAAAAGATCCAGACAAATGGGGGGGACCTTTGACAAGCTGCCAGCTTGTCCTCATCGAGGCCACTAGTAATAGTGGCCCCCATGTAAATTCAGGTAAAGTCATTTATTTATAAAACATAATATATGAAAATTTATAATGAAAATTATAGAACATAATATTGGCATACTGACTGTCTTATATGACTGTCTTAAGTGATGTGGATGACTAAGGCGATCTAGTTGGTAGTAATAGTTTCACAAAAGGGATCAGCGTTTTGTCGTTTTAATGTTTTTGGGATACTGTACTGTTACAGATGATGCTAAAACGCATCAAAACATTAACGTTGTAGTAACTGGATATAATCATTATTGATAAGAAATTAGAGGGACCGGTTAGTGATTTCAAATTTACCTTTGGTAAATTCAGGTAAATTAGCACTTAATATTACTTATGAGTTGTATATTAATTTATATAAATGTAAATTTGTTTTTTTCTGATAAACTTAACACTAAAGAATATAAATTATTTTTAGAATCTACCATATAGCTTTAGTGGTAAATACAGTAGTACATTTACAGTATTGAATACTAACAATAACATATAAAACAATGGATTTATTAGAATGAATAACTAAAGATTCATGCATTTTGTAGTAAAAAGATAAATGACTAAATAGTCAATTAGATACAGTACTTTTTAAATGTTTTATTATTGTTAATTAAAGCAAGTACCCTACATAGTATTTTACTGCATTTGAGAAATCATTCGGAAATTTAGGACCCTTCATTTGCTTGACATTTCTGCTTGTTTCAGTTGATCTCTTAGAACATGAAATAGTTGTTTCTAGTGTGATGTCTGTCTTAATAAGGTTAAAATTGCAAAATGTGAATGCAAAAATAGTTCTTAGCCTTGATAGTAGGGATCTTAAGCCAAAAAAATATCAATGTACAATACTGTATAAATGTTCGAAATAAGACAAAAAGGATACTGGGATGCATGTCCAGAAGTGTCAGCAATACATCTAATGTTCGTCGGCTAGACCTTGCCTTTGTTAGGCCCCAGTTAGATTATGCAGTTCAGTTTTGGTTCACTGAAGTATAGCATTGATATACTACTACATAAGGTTAGTGAACATGAAATTATATGCAAATTAACATTGTTATTAGTACTGGTACTCTTCTTTATTTATGTAAGTTATGGGTTTCTATAAATTATTAATGATTTAATTAAAAGTTACAGTACAGGTATAACACTAGATTTAAGTAAAATTGTTAGATTGCAATAATCACAGATTGATAATCATTAACATAGAAATCTTAATAATTTGCATGTATTGTACTGTATCAGTATAAATTGTAGTAATTAAAAAAAAGGGTTTATTTAAATACAAATCTATAGCCTATAATTCTAGATTAAAGATTCTGGGATGGGATTCTGCTAACCATATTTAAATAAAATATTTTTAAATTGGTTCTAATCTGTTTAATGTTCTAATTCTAGGAAAACCAACAATGGTATTTACATTGTGCACACACAAGTCATTGTGCATGTACTGTACTGTATGCATTATTAGTATATCATAATTTTTTTAGCATATAAGTCAAAATAAGGCAAATAGGCTACTGGGATTCATATCTAGATGCATTAGCAATAAAACTTAGTGTTTTATCAGCAATATCTTGTTCTTGTTATGCCTCATTTAGATTATGTACAGTAGTTCAGTTTTGGACAAGTGCTGTACCATAGAATAAATGTAAATTAACTTTAATTTGTACAGAGAAGTATGACAATTAGTGTCTGGAATTAGACATCTTTGGGTATAATTGGGTATAAAGGAGATCTTCCTTGCATGGGAAAGTAAGCTTTTGTATTTTAATTTATTATGTTAATAAAAGTACATTTATTGCCAATTATATAGAAAATATTTTTTTTTAAATATAAAGAATTTTTTAATTTACAAACCAACAAAATTATATTAAAATACCAACTACACGAGCAAATGTGATTTACAAGACAGTAAACAAATAATGTAGAGTATTTGAGAAGTACTGTGGTTCATGTATGCGACCACCAGCAAGGAGCTCTGCAGTGTTGACTCAAAAACCCACTCTCCCACCTGTGGCTTCCACACCTGGTGGTCAATATTGACTTTATCCATTAATAAGGGTGCATGGAGCAGGCGAGTGGGGCTGGGAGGTTTGGGGCGGGCGGGGAGGCGAGGTGGCGAGGTTTGGGGCGGGTGGGGTCGGGGAGGCGAGGTTTGGGGCGGGTGGGGTCGGGGAGACGAGGTTTGGGGCGGGTGGGAGAGGCAAAGTTCATTGTCAAACGTTAGCTGATTTAAGTATTTGTGCTAATTATTAGCTACAAATACTGATAAAGTATAAAGTAACATTGTATTCTCAATAATGAAGTAATAACCCATAAAATGAGGTCCATATGAATACTGTTCAAGAAATTTAATATCCATATTTGATAAAGCTGAATGCAGAGATTGTCAACCAAGCAAAGGGAAGTCTAAGACCAGTGAAGAGCTCTGTGCCATAAGGCACTACTCTTGCAGCAATGTTATAATAATAATAATGCTCAAAGAAGTCACATTAATGTGATGCATCAATGAGAAAATCAGTAGGACAGCCATGAAGTTTTGAACCTGCATACAGGGTATTCCCAAACACACTTCAACACTATCAACAAACTGGAAAAGATGCAAAGACATGAAACTAAATGGCTCCCAGAACTGAAAGGCAGGAACTACGAGGAAAAGGTTAGAGCCATTAAATGTGCCAAAACTAGGAGATAAAAGAAAGGGGCAATATGATAAAAACATACTAAAGAGTACTGTAACAGGAATAGACAAAATTGATAGGAAAGAATTCCTTAGATCTGGAAATTAAAGAACAAGGTCAAAGATTTAAATTAGCTAAACAAAGCTGCCAAAGAAATGTAAGAAATTTAACTTTTGCAAACAGTGGTAAATGGTAAGAATAAGTTGAGAGATGGAGGAGGTTAAAACTGTTGGTAGTTTCAAAATGTTATGAGAGTGATGGGAAGATGGGACACCATGAGTGTAGCTCTCATCATGTAACTACACTTGGGTAATTACTAGGCCATGATATGCTAAAAGTAATGTACCAGTAATCTTGGAATCTACTGAATCCTCTAGGGGTTCCTGAGGCAGTTTGACCCCAAATCAGGGATTTACAAACTACCCAAAACACCTACCTACTGGTTGTGGTATAGGAATTCTAAAAGCTACATTCCTCTCCAAATGTACAAAGAAATTTCATTAATATGTATCAGTGAGAAAATTGGGAGCCTCAGGCTGGGCTCGGGGAGTAGAAGAACTCCCGAAACCCTCTTCAGGTGTGCTCCAGGAGCCATGAGGATTCAAATCTGCACACTGGGTATTGTGCATTTTATATCGTGCATTTGAAGAGAATCATTGGGGTACAATCCTATACCATAGCAAGAGTGTATGCAGGTACAGTAATGTATAAAGGCCTTATTTGAGATAAGATGTCTCAGGAACCCTAGAGGATTCGGTAGAATACCAAGTTACATTACTTTTAGCATATCGAGGCCTAAAAGTTTAGGGAGTGTGCTTGTGAGTACCCAGTGTGCAGGATCGAATCCTCTTCACGTCTCCAACTAATTTTCTCGATAATAGTACTGTAATGCAGTTGTCATAATCATAATATTGTTACGTAATAATAATGAAAAAATCCACTAGGGCTGTGAGGTGGCACGAACCTACGATCAAGTTTCCAGCATCATATTCTGCCACTGGACCACCGCATACTTGTAAGTCATAAAAGTGGATTTCTACTGAAATCACAGGAAATCTGGAGGCCCCCTACTGATGCCAGTTCAAGTTTTTATGTATAACCCACAAGTACAGTACGCGGGTGGAAGGATAAAACGGTCCCATACCTCGCGCCCCAATTTCAGAAACGCACAGAAATCACACTAACGTGATGTATCCACTCGGTAGAGTATGATGCTGGCAATGCCTTGGTCAGAGGATTGCACCACCTCACAGCCCTAGTGGATTTTCTCATCGATATATATATATATATATATCACCTTAGTGTGATTTTTGTGATTATTATTCTTATTGTTGATATTGTTAGTTATTAATTTTTGTCATAGATGATCCCAACTAATAAAAAACTACGTACATTGTTTAGATATTGGTTAACACAATTCTAGTTAAGATGTTCACAGCAGGAGATATTCACAGCACACAGCCAAGGTTTTGTGAATCTACACATCATATAATGTGACCTTGTGTTCCTTTAGAAAATAATCCAATGTAAAATTATTCATATTCATTATTTAGTGACAGGAATTTGATAAGTGTTCGTAGTAGTAATAGCTATGTACATAGTATATTTCTGGGTATTTTGCTCTGTCAGGTAATGTCATCTGGAGTTGGCTGGTCGGAGCATTAAGTGCACCTGTTCCCAAACTGGGAGCCATGGCCCCCCTGTGGAGGCCTTTTTTGCAATATGTAGGGGGCACAAGTTGAGGCAGTATACAGGTCATGATAAGAGGGGGTAGGGGGGAAATAACCATCTAGTGGAGTGAGCTCACAGGTTGCTACCTGTTTTTTTTAATTGCAAGTTGCCATAGTTACCATTAATTAATAATGACACTATTTGAAGAAAGGGGTAAGGCCTGTAGTGTGTTTGGTGACTACTGGACTTCAGCACTATACTGTGCTAAGATTTCATTACTACACATCAGGATTACTTAGTGGTTTATGATTTATAAGACTATACCTGTAGTTACATATAATGTGCACATAGTGTAATGACAGCAAAAATGCTGTTTTCTGTGGGGACCCCCTTCAGCTCCCTGGAGCTATCGGGCTAATATGCGATGTACAGTACATATTAGTCTAAGGTGATGTATTTGGCAATGGAGTTCAGCCTACCAGGGACCACGAGTCAGAACCTGGCTCCCCTCAGAGGTAAGGGATCTAAAATGGTAAACAGACACATCTAAAATAACATCTAAAATGTCATGCAAAACCTTTTGTTTACCACAGTTAAGAAATATCAGAAGTTTCACTGGGTATTTTGGCTTATCTGACTGGTACAATTAAAAACATAATTTGTACAACTTTTCTGATGTCTAGTACTTGTTGAACATTATAGTAAATTGACCATAATGATTGAGACTGACAGTCTTACTGCAATTCTTAAAATTTAAATGATTACAGTACTGTACCTGTACTATGAAAATATTTTTTTAAAGTTTCTTCAGTAGCTCTTTTTTCACATCTCTCACATAGCTACTAGTTTGAACTGGGCAGGATAATTTTCCCATTGTCTATTGATAAATATGAGCCAAAATTGAAATGGAACCACATTAAAACACTTCTTTCTCAGCCACTAATTTAATTGTAGGTAAGGTCTGTGTGATTGGGTATTCCATTACATATGTCAGGGGGATTGAGGTGCATTTTCTTGTATTCTTTGCACTTGCACATTTTAACTTTTGCATTGTAGATGACGATGTTGTCCTGGGCCACTTTGGGTGTGCTGGTCATCGGTGCTGCTCATGCAAGGCTCGTCTTCCCTCCAGGGTCTGACATGGGCTACATTGTTCCAGGTTTGTACATGATTAACAAATGTCTTTCGAGGTTAACAAGCCTATGTAACCAAACATCATAAAAATTTATAATAAAGTGTCTGATAATCTAATAACCATGACTCATTCTATATATACGGTACAGTGTTGTACAGTATCCTATTCATAGTGGCACACAGTGACAGTAATAATCATTTAATAGCTGTCAATGCTTTAATTGCATTTGCTTTATTTGCCGAGGTACTCTGCTGGACTGAAATTGTGAATTTTCCTCGTTTGACAATTGTTTAAATAATAATGTTCGTTTATTTTGCCATAATCATTGTATGCCTTCAGCAGCTTTCTCTTTATTCCTAAGCAGATAATTATCTCCTAAAGGGTTAATTTTTTTTAAATTCTCATGCACCAAAAGAAAAGTTAGTTATGTTTCTTGTGCTAGGCAGTGCACCTGGCAATTCCATTTTCTATGACAGTAAATTAGAATCTAAAGGTTGTTTCAATCACTCCAAACACTTCTTACTGCAACCAGTGGACCAATGTTAAAAGATTATTCAAGGCCTATTATTTGCAGATTTTAAAGAGTTTTGCGAATACACAGTTTAGTGACACCTCGGCTTAAGAATGCCCCATTTACGAACTTTACGGGTTACAAGCCCAGTTTTTGTAAAATCTGAAGAGAGTTAAGAGCTTTGCCTCGAGAAATAAAGTTTGTTGATACGCGTGTGGTTGACCTAACTCGTGGTGACATGGCGATTGTGCCTCAGTTTACCAGTGCATCCTGCCTAGTGACAATTGCGCCTGAATTCTTTGTAAAGTTTTTTTTTGTTTGAACATTAAAGTTATATATCTCACCATGGGTCCCAAGAAAGCCTGTGGTAAGGTTCAAGCCAAGAAAACACGTGAGAATGACCATTGAGGAAAACAAAAGATCATTCGTAAACAAGAAAATGATGTGAAGGTTGATGTAGAGTAGAGGATGTCCCTTCTTCATTTACTAAGAAAATGTGTGCAGTATGAGAAGAATTGCAAACTTTTGCTGAAAAGTGTCACCCAAATCAAGCTGTAGCAGATTGTTGTGTTAACCTTTTTAATGACAATGTGATGTCTCACTTCATACAAGTGTTACAATGTAGGGGAAAAAGTGTCGCTAGACAGGTTTTTACGGAGAAAAAAAGTGAGCCACAAGCAGGTCCTAGTGGTATGCAGCCAAAACTTACTTGCCAGTGTGTGTACCCCAGAGAAGTCATCACTGCCTGATGTTATAATGGAGGGGGACTCCCCTTCCAAACACTAACACCTCTCCTCCTTCCCCCTCCTCACTGTCTTCCATACGCTAACAAGTAATCAGTACAGGTAAGTAATAACCTGTACATACTTTAGTACTGAAGATTTGGGTGAATTAGGTATAAAAATTACTTTGAAGTTAATTTTTTGGGGACTCTGGAACAGATTAATGCAATTTACATTATTTCTTGTGGGGAAATTCGCTTAAGTTTACGAATATTCAGCTTACGAGCCGTCTCTGGGAACGGATTAAATTCGTAAGCTGAGGTACCACTGTATTCATATTTTAATTCTTTAAATTTTGTTAAATCTAGTTAAAAAAGTTATACTGTTCTATATTTAAACCGAATCTTCCAACCAGCTCAAATCTAACAAATGTAGACTCATTTGTGATAGGTCTTACCACCCCTCCAGCTCACTCAACTCTACCATCACTATGTAGCGAGTAGATTATCCCAATAATATACTCACTCCAAGTGCCTAACGAGAGAAGCAAAGCTCTTCTTGGTACTAATTATGGAACTCAAACCTTTCCCAACTTCCACATACTATTCCTGTCAACCTTTAGAGAACGGTGAGGTGTTGCCCAAGCATATAAAAGCAGAGTGGCGAATAATAACTAGTCTTTCAAGTGTGGTCTAGAACAGACACTTAGGAGATACTGTACCGACGCTCGGTGCGCTCGACTCACACCATTGCTCGCCGAAGTATCACCTGCGTACTTCTGTACATTCGACCAAATATATATCTTAGTGTTTGTGTTTATTGTCACCATACTTTACATAATAGAACTGTTACAACTACAATGCCAATTATCCAATTTTTTGCAAATAACATTTTCTAAACATTTTGATACATTTTTTGTTCAACTTGGCAATTAGTTTAGCACTCTGGAGACATATTCTGCTCAACATGACCCAGCTACATCAATGCTTTGCTTATTCTCACTCTGTTCTCTCTAGGCTCATTAGAATTAAATCTTTTTTTAATTTCTTACTTAAATTCTACTCTGGAGGAAGATATCTAAAATATTAGTAAAAGGGTTAAGTAACATTTTCCTATTATTATTGTGCACATGCACAAGTAATAAATGCATGCACAAGTTATTAATTATGTTTACTGTAAAATTTTATCTGCTCATACTTTGGTACTTTCAGCCAGCTGTAACAAAATTAAATGTTGCACAGTTCTTTTAGGGCGAGTGTTCAACATTTGGGTATTTTTCAATGCCTTATGGTAAAAAATTGCCCTATTATTCTAGATGATCCTGGACCACAGAAGTTTGAAGATGACACTAACTGGCTCAATAATATCGAAAATGAAGTTGATGACCAATCTGTGCTGCAGAGAGGTGAACGAGAGATAATAAATGACATCGAGTCTGCACTTTGGAAAACTGTTGAGGACCGTTCGAGACAGGAGGAAACTCGGAGTATTGAAGATGATGACATTGTGAAGGTCAGTTTGGTCGTCATGACACTAAAGTAAATTGTATATACAATAGGTACCAGTACAGTACTCTACTACATATTTTTATTTTCTCCTTTTACAGTATAGTATTCTGCATAAAATTATTTTTGGGCAAATGTTGAGACATAATGACATTTTCAGCTGCGAATATTTTAAAAGTATATTTTAAAGAATGTTTTTATTTTTAAATAATAACCTTAAAGATAGTAATAATAATAATCTTAAGATAGTGGGACTAATTGAATTGACTCCGCTGATACGGATTTCTGGGTGGACTGGACATGAGCTGAATTTGGTCATGAACTCTAATACAATGGCTGTAAACTTACATTTTGACAGGGGCAGTCTTACATCATTCTTGTAAAGCCACTAGCATGCATAGCATTTCGGACAGGTCCTTGATCTTAAATTTTCCCTTGAATAAGACCCTCCAAATAGTTTAACAACCAGGCACCCATTTACTGCTGGGTGACTGGCAAATTCTTTTGAATATTGACTAATTGAGGGGCAGCAGTCAAAAAAGCTAACCAAACACTTGGAATAATCAAGTGTACCTTTGACTTTAGGAAAAAGAAGGTAGTGGTTCAATTGTATAAATCTCTGGTGCAGCCCCATTTGAATTACTGTATCCAAGCATGGAGTTTTCATATTCAGGAGGACATAGCTGCTCTGGAGAAAGTGCAACACCGGGCAGCAACAATCATTCCACACCAAGTCAGCTCGCTTATCAGGAATGGTTGAAGGCCACAGGGTTAACACAGCAATCCAGGAATGACAGGGCAGATCTCATTGAAACTTATAAAATGCTGAACAATTTGGAGGATGTTGATATGGAATATTTCTTCAAAAGGTCAGATGTAACACAAGAAGCAACGGTTTCAAGTTCAACAAGCCACAATGTAGGACTGAGAACAAGAGATGCTTTTTCACTCACGGCTATAAACCCATGGACCCGCATACCTGCCGAAGCCGTAAATGCCAAAACAATGATAACTTTTAAAGTACAGTACAGCTGGAAAAAGATCAAGGCAAATGGTGGAACCTTCAGGCCACCGGCTTCCTGTCTATGTGGATATGGGTATATGGATCATAATTTAATTAAAAACGTAAGAACAAACTCACTTTGCACTTTTTTTTTTTTTTTTTGCGCACCAAGAGTGCACATTAACCAGTGCCTGTACCGTACCTGCCACATTAATAGACTATCAGTGTACAGTAGTCATAAAGCTCACAATGTGAGACAGAAAAGTGTACAGTAGTCATAAAGCTCACAATGTGAGACAGAAAATAGATGCTTTTTCACCCATAAACCCATGGATTTGCCTATATGCTAAAGCCATATATGCCAAGTCATTAGCAATACTTCAGTTTAAAATTCAGTTGGAAAAAATCCTCAGAACAATGGGGAGGGAACGGCCTTTGAGAAACCGATGGCTTCCTGTTCCAATAGAGGCCACTAGAGGGATGGCGGCCCTCGGGTAAATAGCCATCTTCAGTTGGCAATATTTTTGTCCTTCTCAATTTTGAAATTTCCATTTACCTGAGAGGTTGGTATTTTGAATCTACCAGAGTGATTTATAATAATCTTTGAGAGGTCATTATTTCAAAGAACAACTTGAAAAAAATCTATTTTCAGCCTGGGGTATTGCGAAATTGAAACTATTGCCAGACATTAGTGCCGAGAGAGAAAATGCACTGAAAGGTTGAGTAATGTTAAAGAATGATGTGAGAGAGATTGTAGAAGCAAGCAAGCAAGAGGAAAAAAAATGAAGTGAGGAATTGGAAGCTGTTCCTTAACTACTGTGCTGCACACACCGTGATATCATAAAGGGTGTGCACCAATCAGTATATCATATTTGTTAGTACCGGTATATCATAAGATTCAAAACTCCCATGGGGTACATGGTGCTAGCATTTTGTTCCTTGGGACTCCAGTCAAGACTCCATCTTAAAAAAAATCCTCTACATCCTTCCTGGCTGTGATATCCTCAGTACTGCCAGAGTGACCAAGGGTGGCACACAGCCCAAGCTCACTGCACAGCTGTGTAGGGCTGTGCAGCACATTAAGTCATCAGCACCACTTAATGATGAATAAAATACTGTAACTGCAATTATTGTCATAGATGATCCTGATTGATACTGTACAACATTGATATCGGTGAACACATTGCTAGTTATGTTTACAGCATATGGGAAGGGATGGGAGTGAAGAGTGAGCCAGCACTCAGCCATGTTTCATCATGAAACTATCTCGTGTACTCTTACAATATAACCTTGTGGAAATAGATTCATATTTAGAATTTAGTGACAGGAATATGGTGATAATAGCAGCTCTTTGGGTAATAAGTGATGTCTAGTATATTGGAGGTATTTTATTGAATCGGGTGGTGTCTGCTGACGTCGTCTGCTCGTATTGTGTGGCTCAATGTTGTTTTAATTTCATCACCACACCCATCATAACTGCTTATGGTGTATAAAAATGTTGATAGATAGATATGATGTGTGTGTACAGTGCAATAATGACAGTTTTATTGTTCATAGAATGAAATATACATGTCACTATATATGAGCACCGTATTTGAGTAACAGTTTCACACATTTAAGTACTGTGTACATGTATATAAATTCCTCAAATTACACAATTGAATAATATTCCTGTAAAAAACTAGACAAAAAACCATTCAAATTTTGAAATAATTACCATATGTACCGGTAATAATATGTGTTAACCCCACCACACGTTGGGGCTGGAGTAGACCACAACAGGCGACTGCTCAATGTGTGAATATAAGCAGACTTACTTGCCCCATTACAGCCAAAATATGTCACATACAAAATTTTCTTTTCCCCATGATCAGGAATTGCATTTTAATACTGTATTGGAAAACCATTTTGGGAATAATTTTTTTTATGCTCACAGGGGACTTGTCATCTTAAACTGGTGCACTGTACATGGGGTTAAAGGCTTTTTTGAAGCTTCCCCCCCCTCCTTTTTCTAGCCCATTGTCATTGTGAGGGGGGCATGGTGGATGGCTGCCGGGGTGTGATGCTCCATGGGACAGTCCTCTGTCCTGGTTGATACCTGGTTGATGGGGTTCTGGGAGTTCTTCTACTCCCCAAGCCCGGCCCGAGGCCAGGCTCGACTTGTGAGAGTTTGGTCCACCAGGCTGTTGCTTGGAGCGGCCCGCAGGGCCACGTACCCACCACAGCCCGGCTGATCCGGAACTTCTCTTAGAAAACCGTCCAGTTTTCTCTTGAAGATGTCCACGGTTGTTCCGGCAATATTTCTTATGCTCGCTGGGAGGACGTTGAACAACCGCGGACCCCTGATGTTTATACAGTGCTCTCTGATTGTGCCTATGGCACCTCTGCTCTTCACTGGTTCAATCTTGCATTTTCTTCCATATCGTTCACTCCAGTACGTTGTTATTTTACTGTGCAGATTTGGGACCTGACCCTCCAGTATTTTCCATGTGTATATTATTTGGTATCTCTCTCGTCTCCTTTCTAGAGAGTACATTTGGAGAGCTTTGAGACGATCCCAATAATTTAGGTGTTTTATCTCGTTTATGCGTGCCGTATATGTTCTCTGTATTCCCTCTATTTCAGCAATCTCTCCTGTTCTTTAGGGGGAAGTGAGTACTGAGCAGTACTCGAGACGGGACAACACAAGTGACTTGAAGAGTACAACCATTGTGATGGGTCCTTTTGAAGCCTTGTGCTCCTGCTGCCGTCTTCACTAATTATCCTGGATGTCTTTTTCCTCTTCCTTCCTTCTTATTTTTCCTTTCCCCTCTGCTCTTTTGATTGTCACTTCCTGCCAACTTTTTGCCTTTCTTGATTATTCTTTCAGATGTCTTCTGTTTTGACACCAGGTGTCTAGGGGGGACACACACTCGCCCATAAAAATGTTACCCGACATTTCGAGCAAAGGGAAGCTTTTATTGTAAATCTTTGCCTTCGTTGCAGAATCTGATCTCGACGGACTGACGGTTCTTAAGGTGGCGATTGCGAGGCGTATACCACGCCCCCCCCCCATGATGTACCCCTGGGGGGAAGGGGGTGCTGTGTTGTTGGGTGTTCTATCCTCTAATTGTGGCTCCTTGGTGGGTATGGGGGCTTATGATAGATGGATTTTTTAAAAATTTTTATGCCTTTTTCTGACCCTCCTTTACCGTCTCAGACTTGTGGAGTAGGTGATAAGGCCCCAGAGTTGAACTGTGTTGGAAGACCAGGCTCTGTAGCCCCCGCTACATTTTGGCCCTGACCTTGTTCCTCCTCGGACTTTCCCGACTGACTGACTCTGCTCCCATCCCACCTCTGTGATGGGGTTGAGCCCCAAGCCTCCAAGTGGTGACGACCTCATCACCTGGCATGGCTCAGTCTAGTCATTACAACTTCACCTTTTACCCCTCTCTTACTGGGGGTGCTCGGCGTCGTCCTCTCCTCACTCACATGTGCTCGATTCCTTTCCATCTCCTTCTTTCCAGGCTTTGTTTGGTCCAGCTACGTGGACTAAGTATTTTGATCTTATTCATGCTGACCCTACTTGTTCTGATTTATTTCTCCATAACCACCTTGTTGATTCGGTGGATACGTTAGTCACTTTTACCGCCACCCGTACTGGTACCTGTGTTGTTGCAGCCGCCTTCTCAGGAAGTGGGTGTACATTTAGCTTCATTTTCCTGCACTGGGAAGACCTCTGTTTGGATCTCCAAAAATGCCTGGTTGAATATCAGCATTGGCACAGTTCTTCTCCCACACTTTGTTCCGACTGGTGACAGGGAACTTAGCCCACCACGAGGACATTAAGCATATCCTTGAGGCTCAAGGCCATTCATTCCTCCAGGTAGATACCTTCACTCAATTCCCTCATGGTCGCCATCAGCCTCTTTACATGGTGGAGATCACTTTTTATAGTATGTCCCTTCCCTCTTCCTCATTCTTGTTGGTGCCAGATGCTCCATTCAGGAGTATATTCCCTCTCTTTGCCTCTGCAGCAGGTGCAGATTTGGGCATGGTCTCTTCAGGTGCACAAGTGAGGCTGTCTATGCCCTTTTGAGTGTGGAACCTCGGGTCATTCTAAGAGTGCTCTTCTTTCCATGCTCTCTGCATCAATTGCGGTGATGCCCACCCTGCCTTCTCCCGCACATGTGTGTGCATTACAAATTTGAGGAAGCCATCCTCAATTTGAAGCATCGTGATCATTTATCATTTCCTGAGGCTAGATGCCAGGTTCGCCATCTTCCTCCTTTCTCTAAATGTCTTGTACTCGTGTTTTGCGTTTCCCTTCTCACACTCTCCCGCTTTCTCAGTTTCGCAACCGTTTCAAGGCCTTGGACCCCGACACCACTACCACTCAACCACCCAGTTAAGGCGGTCGCCCAGTACAGTATATTGCTGATGGTACGCCTGTGTCTCTACATCAGAAGCGTAAGCCTGGTTCTTTTCCTTCTCCTGGCGGGCAAGAAGGCTTCAATGAAGGCCTCGCCTTCCGACTCTGACACTATTCCTACCATGGAGGTTTCCTTGGTCCTTGATCCTCTTGGATGCTGCCCTTACTCCGGTGCCCTCACCTGTTTGTCCTTCCTACCCGATTGCCTCCTCCCATTCTGGACTCTGTCGGTCCTCACACTCCCTTGTCTTGGTTATCTTTGCTAGCTTTGCCTCTGCCCCATCACCCTGATTTCATTGGTCTTGATCTTCCTTAGTCTCCCGTGTTCTACTTTGCCTTTGTTTCTCCCTTTTTATCTCTGTTTCTGTTCTCTTATTTTGTCTGTTCTTCAACGGAATATTCATGGTTTTTATGCCAACTTCCATGAACTTCCACTTCTGATTGCACAGTTTTAACCACTTTGTGTTTGTCTCCAGGAGCTGATGCTTGGCGCTCGTCCTGGTTGCTTCCGTGGTTATTCCTTTCTCTTTCCCTCCAGCTTTTGCTAGGGTCCATACCTCTACTGTTCTCTTGATCCGTCTTGATATTCCTTTCTTCCCCCTACTTTTCAGTGGCCAATCAGTGTTCTGCACCCGTATCTTTGTGAGTAAATGGTAATGTTTACAGTATGTTCCATTTATTCCCCCCCCCCCCCCCCCACAAAATGTCCTGCTTTCTCTACCTGATCTTAACCACTGCACTGCGCCAGACGACAAATGCTGTTTGGAGAGTTGTCCATTTTTTTTAATTAGGCTATATTTTAATGTTTTTTAATGTTTTCATCACTCTTTGTGTTTTGAAATGAAAATAGTTTGAAAACATTTTGACATTAATTTTACCTGAACATTTATAAAAACAACAAAAATGTCCTTAACAATTGCACCAAAAAGTTTTTGCCAAAACCAGGTGCGCAGTGCAGGGGTTAAACACCTGTTGGACTTACTACCAGAGCTTGTGCTCCTTTTGGGTGAGTTTTAACTGTCGGCATACCCTATGGGGAGATGTTCTGACACACCCGGGATCGCTGCATTGAACCTTTTGTCTTCTCTTCTGTCTCTTCTGAATTCTGGTGAGCCCCTCATGTTGACTTCAGCACTCTCATCCATTCCTGTCATGATCTTTCTCTCTGCTCGTCTTCTCTTTATTTGGACTTCACCTGGCGGGTTCTTGATGACCTACATAAGTGACACTTTCCCCATCCTTGTTACCTTCTTCTCTTTTCACTCCCCTAGGTGGCAGTTTGCCAGGGCTGACTGGAACCTCTTCACCTTACGTGCTACTCTTTCAGACCTCTCTGATCTGCCTCTCCTCTGAGCCTTCCTCCTCTTTCATGCCTGATTTTTATGCTGCCCTCTTACTCTGTTCCTTGCTCTACCTCTAGAGGTGTGCGGAAGTGCATTCCTTGCTGGAATGCAGACTGTGCTCGAGCTCTCTGCTGTAAGCGCGCAGCTTGGAAGAAACACCATTGCTGTAGGATGCCTTTCTTTTACTTTGTTTTGGAGGGCAAGTGCGGTGGCCCGTAGAGCCATCCGTCAACCCATCTTCCGAATTGACAGTACGTTTTATTACTAAGCGTAATAAGTACATTTCCTAACTGTCATACATAGTTTCTATGCAGTCTCAACACACTGAAGTGCCTAGTCTCTAATTGAATCAAGCTTGTACCTAGTCTTATACAGTATACAGGTTGGTGGTGAAGGGGGGTCCACCTTCCATGAGCTGTATCATAATGATCTGGAATGTTAGTGAGGACACTAAAGACAACTTCTGTCTGTGCTTGCCTGGGTAAATGTGAATTTGCAGGGAACTTCCCTAACCATTGCCAGTCATACCACCTGGTTAAAGGAACTTAGTCTAATAACTCTTGAGGATGAGAAGGATGAGAACATGATTACTACATGCTAAATATTGGTGCCGCCTTTGGATAATTACTTGCATACTGTACTAAGTACTGAAGGAGAGAAGGAAAATGGGTACAGCCTTCTCCAAATACAGTAATGGATAATAAAACACAAGGGCATTTTTGAAGTTCAAAATGTAAGTTGGGTAAACTTATTTGGGTGACCAATAGGGGAAATATACTGCAGCAAATTGTGGAAACCATTGTCATGTACAGCTTGGAGACAATATTATGGCAAATTTGAATAATATATCAGGAAGTGGAACCAAGAGTGCTAGACTTCTTTCCCTTGCACAGATAAGCATTTTCTGATAAACATTATTTTTGTGGTGAGGGGACTGCATACTCTGACCAGGAGCGAGGGTTGTAACCCTTTCATGCAAATGGATAGAAGGATTTGAGTGTTTCCATACTTTAAGATAAATCATAAGCCATATAGTCAGTTACAAGTCATGTCGTTCCTGTTTTAACTCTGTTGGGGAGAAGTGAATATTGTAATTCTTAATTTAGTTTAGGTGAATATTTGCTTGTACAGCATCAATAACATTGTTAGTACCATAGGAATTATTTATCAGTTCTCCTGCAGCAACTCTAACTTTGGTAACTAATGCCAGCTGCTCTGTACTTATATTTTTGCATAAAGGAAAGTGCACATTTTGTGTTCAAACTTGTATGCACTATATTAGTATATAGTATTAGATCTTTAATGCTTGTATAATTTGAGTTTTATATAATATATTTATATTCTCAGGTGGAACCCATACAGAATTGGCATGGCCGATGGTTCCCTCATCCTCCTAAGGAGTTAACCCTGAAAGGGAATATTCCAGATGACCTGCCCGACTATTTAAAGGATGATAAACATGGTGTTGTAATGGGAATTCCCAGTGTGAAGTGTGATGATGGCAAGGTATGTCATTAACTTTCCCAACCTTTAAACAGGTTTTGTAGGCTGATGTAAAACAGAATTTTTCTGTTTTATATTTTATCTTAAAATGATGAATATCAACAAATTGACAACCGTATTCTGAATTTTGGAAAAGATAATGTTCAGTATATTTGGTCTGACTATTTGCTTGTACAGTAGAGGGAAAATAGGTTAGTTATCTTGGAAAGTACCGGGTCTTCTTGACAGTGTACACACGCAAGGCAAAAAATGTAAAGTACTGTATTGTATTTGTTAATAAGTTATTTATACATCTTTATTGACAAAATTTAAATAACATTTTTCCTAATCTGATGATTTCAATAAGTCTTATTAAAGTGAGGATAATGCTGGTATTCACTGTCACACAGGACAGAGGGTCATACACAAGACAATGTCTAAACTGTAGGCTGAAGCACACACATATCATGGTTACAATCAGTTTTAATGTATGAATATTTAAAATCAACTTTTTATTGTGCACTGCCACACAAGGGCAGGGATGGGTTCATAAGAGATGCAATTTAAAAATAATATAAATAAAATATTTTTCATTCTTTAAAATGGACAAGCAAATTTTGTATAAATTGTTAGGATGTCGTCCAGTACACCAGATTCAATGAAATAGTTACACAGTTGGCAGTACAATAGGCCAGGTCTAAAATCTTTTACGGTTTCACATTCAACAATATAGTGTTCTAGTGAATGCACTAAAGATTTGTCAGAGTTTGCAATCTGAATATTCTGGTAGTGGATGAGCCTCACTAACCTACCAGATGTGCCTATAGCCAAGGCGAATTACCACAATGACTACATTACATTGCCTGGTCAGGTTACTGTGCTGACCATACAAATACCTATTATTACAAAAGTTGTCATAGCTTTTAATACTGCCACTTTCAGGTACCCAGCATCTCTGGGCATTTCTTAGTTCTTCTAAATCTGAATTAATTTCTTTAATTTGTATGTTTCTAATAATTGCATTAGATAGTCCAAGGTCATAATCGGTGTTTTCTTTCCTGCATGCCTCATTGGCCAATCTGTCTACAAAGTCATGTTTTCCAATTCCAACATGGGATGGGGGATCCACACAAATTTTATACAATAGTTATCATCATTGACAAAAATTACATTCCATTTAATTAATATTACAAGCTATTTCAGACATAAATTGTGATGGGTTATTTAAGGACTGCAGAGCACTTCTAGTCACAGAATATCACTCCACCATCATTGATTTTAAGGTACTCAGCGACTAGATAAATACCCAATAGCTCAGTCTGTCGTGCTTGCCCATCTGTGTACTAGACATGATCATTTCATTCCCTTTATTCAACACATGCTGGATTGTATTTCGCAAAATACCCAGCATCTTGGCAGAAAATGAAATTAAGGAATTATTCTAGGTAAGGGTCTCCCGAAACGTAAGATATGAAGCAAGCTAGAGGGAGTGTTAGCTTCCACCATGGAGTGGTTTTCCCTCTTCAATGCCCTTCTTTCATGTAATCACTTTGAGGGTATTCCCAGTTGTGCCTTGCCATTTCCAGTGTGTGCATTCCAACACAGGAAAGGTATATTTAATTTAAATAGATTTATTACCATTTTAAATATTTGCTAATCTAAAGTCAATATTTTTGTTTTGTACCAGAATTTAAAAATTGCTAAACATTATTTTGTTTTCCATGTTTGTGGAAATTTTTTTTCTAAACTGCTAATTACCAGATTAGGCAATTCATAATTGAGTATATTGTATGAAAGTTATAATTTTAAGGGTTTCTTTGGCTTACACTTGAGTGGATTCAACAACAAATTACATGGAAACTTAAGTAGCCCGGTGAACATTATGGATGGGCATTAAAATTTTCCTAGCCATTTTTAAATAATTATAAATATTCCTTCACAGGTAAACCTTACAGTTGACTGGGACTTCTCTCCCATCAATTACACATGCTTTGATCCCAAGCACCATCGCATACCAGTCCAGGGCAATCTACCCTCCGTGGAGCAGTGTGTGTATGTCCCAAAGAATTATACACCAGCACATATTTGCATGCAGAGTGAAATCAAATACAACACAAGCCTGCCAACATATGGACCACATCGCCCCATTTGGCCTATTTTTGGAGAATATAAATTTGTACCAGTTCAGAGGTGGCTTCACAGTATTGAGGTATGGATTCTTGTATTAAGAAACTGAGCAGATATAGGATTATTGAAATGTAATTTGAGCTAACTGTAATGTTCTAGTGCTTTGAAAAGTGCACTAATAATTGGCTCAGTATTTAAAGATTTCATAGTTTTTCTAGAGGACACTGTGGCATTACTTTACAGCAGGAATGGCAAATTGGGAATAGAAAGTGAACTAAAGGAATGCAGTTATCATATATGCCAGTTCTTGTAAACACTTGCAGGGACATACACAACGAAGTTTGAATTAATTGATTATTTCTCTCGGAGATACATTTTGAAGCTGTTCGATGGGAGCTCTGTCACCTGAGGAGCTTGGGTTTGAGAGCTTGTTCAAATACTTTGTATTGTTGGGCTAACAACAGAATATATGTACTGAGGAATGAAGCTGGAACTTGGGTGATGATTCCATCGATGACTTGGCGCTGCCATGGACATGGGTGTTGGGTGACTGCAAGTATGAGCATAATGAGGACCGGTAGCATTAAGGAATCAGGGGGAAGGGTAGCAGTAGGTAACTACCAAACTATGGACATAGGTTTGGGGCTTGGGGAGATTACACATATGTGATTAAAACAATGGAAGCAAAGGGTCATCCTAAATAGAAATATATCTGACTAGACAAAATATAGCTATTAGAGTGCTGCAAAAGTTTCATTTTGGGGCCAACCCATTTTTGTCGTACAGTATACAACAATGACAGATAAGAATAGTAGTCTACGTTGAATTTGCAGGTGACAATATCTAAGGTAAATTAGGAAGAGAAATGAATTGAGGCTCTACAGTGTGATGTTGCATAAACTCTGCAACTGGGCAGAAGACTGGCAAATGATTTTCAATAATAAATGCAAGACCTTGCATGTATGGCATAATGCACATCACAACTCGTCATACTACCATGTAGTAGATTAGTGAAAAGGACCTTGGTGTTTGGATCCATCAGTCATTGAAAGTTGCACAATATGAGGGAGCTGAAGTGAAAAAACAATCAGACATTAGTAATAGTAAAAAGAACTTTTGACTTCAAGGAAAAGAAAGTAGTTATGAAATTACAAGTATGATGCAGTAAGCATAGAGACCTCGCTTTCCAAAGGATATATCTGCCTTGGAGGAAGTTAAACACAGAGCAACAAGAATCATCCCAGAACTTGGCCAACACTTGTACCAATAATGGTTGAGGCCCACAGATCTAATGCTACAAACCAGGCATAACAAGGCTGAACTCGGACCGTTAAACAAGTTGAATATTAATTGAGGCCACTTCTTTAAAAGGTTGTAAGTTATTCTCAAGGGCAACAGCTTCAATCTCAACAAGCTACAATGTAGGACAGAAAACAGGAAATGCTTTCTCACTGGCATAAACCATGGAATTTCCTACCTGCTGAAGCTGTAAATGCAAAGACATTAGTTTAAAATCCAATGAGAAAAACCTTGAACTAAAAGGGAACCTTTGATAAGCCACTGACTTCCTGTACCAGTCTAGACCACTAAAGATAGTGGCTCAGGTAATATAATGTGCCTGCCATTAAATAGCCAACAAGTGGCAGAAAGTCGGTGGGGTAGAAAAATGGGAAAACCAGCAATTAGTGTTTCCCCTGCCCCCTCCCTAGGTATGTGCTGGTTTTGGAAACTATAATAATTATAATAATAATTTAGCAATGTATATGCTAAAGCTGTATCCAGAAGTTATGCTCAGGAATCATAAGGGATCCATCCATAATATAAATAACAAGTACTGTAATGTTAATTGGGAGAAACCTAACAAAGGAAAGTTATTAGATGTCTCCATAAACAGAGCATTAATTATGAGGCACAGGAGTTGACTTTGAAAAGTCAAGAGAACATAAACCTGGGAAGTGGAAACAAATTCCAGGGGAGACAAATCCCAGGTAAACAATTTCAAGGAGACAAGGAGTTTGACAGCAGGAAAACAAAACTACACAAGTCTTAAATCCAAGGCACCTTAATAACTAGGGACAACCTGAGAATGATGACAGGGATAGCTAACCAGAGGAAAATGTCTGTCACCATTTAAATGAATAAGAAAAACAAAAAATTAATACCTTGCATTGGTTCTGGAGAGCAACATCCCTCACAGCCTGGTCTCTGACTGTGCCTCCAGGTTGGTGGTCTGCTCAACTAGGCTGTTAGATGCAGCTGCTTGCAGCCTGATTTATTAATCACAGCCTGGTTGATCAGGTAACTTTTGGAGGTTTTTCTAAAGTTCTTTTGAACAAGAGAGGTTGTTAGTTATGCCCCTTACGTTTAGGAGTGTTGAAAAGTCTTTGACTCTTTGATGTTAATAGTTTTCTCTTGGCATACTTATTGTACCTCTGCTTTGCAATGAGGCAGTTTTGCACTTCCTGCATGCTACTAAAAAGGGTTTGAAGTCTGGGCATTACCTGGTAAAAGTGGCATGCACTTTGCTGTCCCGGGAAGACTGATGCCACTGGATTGGGGGGACCTGTAATAGTGAGCAGGATGAGAAGATACACTAAGAAATGAAAAGGAAAGGAAGGGGGGGGGGATTGCACAAAAACAGACTGGTGCTGTGGCACAAAGCATAACTGGAGACCATTAAGTGATACTGTAGGGTCAAAAGCATACCTTGATGAAGCCAGCTAGGGTAGACATAAAAGCACAAACGACCGAGTGTCTGACTGGGTTCAGCGGGAGGACTAGGTGACAACCTCAGTTGGCCGAGACAGCTGCAGGATATATGGCAGTGTAACCTTGTTAAGTTATAAACTGAAAAATAAATGGTAAGGAATGGAGTAATTCATGTGACACGGTAGACAGCCCAGGGAAGGTGTACAAGTGTTGGCTTGGGAGGCACAGCTTTGGTGCTAAATCCATCAGATGTACCAATGGGGCTAGCTGTCAAGTGGCACTGATGGATTCCCCTAAACCCAAAGTGCTGTTGCTAGAGCTAGTTTTAGAGGCACGGGGAAAAAATTTGCTCGACTGGTTAGCAAGGCTTGAGAGGAGTAACATTGAGAGAACTGATGGGGAGGGGAGGACCCTAGAGATGCTGTTAAAGCTAGCTGATGAGGTGCAGTGAAAAGCTGCAAGGCTGGTAGGTATGGCACAAGGGGGTGGAGTAGAGCTGTCATGGAAGGCTTAAGATGATGCTATTAAGGCTGTTCTGTGGGATTAGGAGAAAAAATTGGGAGAAGGCCCAGGTGGTAAAGTGTGAGGAGAATGAGTGGGCTAGTTACATAGTGCATACTTGTAGAGCCCACTCTGGAGGGAGAGAGAGACTGCCCCTTTGCTGAAAAGCAGAGGGGGGCAACTGTGTGAGCTGTCTGCTGCCAGCCCATCCTCCTTTTTTGGTAGTACTTACAGTAACTATGAGGATCATAGTGTATATACTGACGTAAAATGAAATTAGAATGTAGAAATCTGAACTATTGAGTTGGACAAACCGGGGAAAACTATTTTTTTTTTTTTGCTTGTGTGGCTTTGACAAACTTAACTATCCTAACCTCCTTAGGATTAATACACGATATCTGAGGCTTAATATAGTACACATATCCTATACTAGGCCTAGGGATATTTAAGTTCGTGACTTAGCTTCATTAATAAGGAATTCTTTTAAAATGTCAGTATACTACAATCTAAAAGCTAAGAATGTACAAATTCTGACTACTGTATTGACGATCGTCACAATAGGTACTATCTAAACAGATGGGTTGCTGCTGCATAAACCTGCCTTCCTTTCCTCTCCCAAAAACCTGCCTTATTGCCTCACCTTGCATATTTTTCTCTATTGACGGGAAGGTCTTCCTTTTCATGGCCTATATCATGCACAAGACTAAAATTTGGTCTGCCATTGCAAATGAGTTTGACACCTGGCCTAGAGGGACTTTTGATAACTGTAAGTACAGGTTTCCTGTCCCTAAGAGACTTGTGTGTTTAGTTTGTTAGGAAAAGAAATGGGTTATGAAAATAGTAAGAGTGCAACTGTTTTACAGGATGGGATGATACATATTGTAAATAGATAAGTAGAGCAGTTATGAAAGCTAATTGTAAATTTATTTGAAATATTTTATTTTAATATTAAGTCCAATTCTAGATAAATATTAAACATTCGGCACTAATTAAGCACTTCGTTTTGTGCTGCTTAATAATTAGCAGACTGAAGAAATGTTCATTTTTAAATATAGTTTTGCATATGAAACTGTTGCCACAATGGCAGAAATGGGACAAAGTATTTAATTAGAAAATGTCATTCGGTGGAAGATTATTAAAACCAAGGAAGTGTTGCCATATAATTAGTAAACAGTTGTATAAATCAATGCCAAAGTAAATCACTGAGATAAATCTCTCACTACACTTTATCCTTAATTCTGTCCTGGGTTCTTAAAATAGCAAACTACACCTCTCATAAAAAGAAGCGTGTATTTAGGAGCTAAACTTCACAAATTAAATGATTTTGAGACTAACAAATTTGTTGTCCTGTCATTCTGGCTTCTGGCACTTTCACCTAATAATTACCTAACATTATTCTCACATACTGATCCAAATAAGGTTTTAGAACTAATCAGTCTGTTGCAGCATGGAGCAGTGGTGATGCTGTATGACCCCTGCACTGAACCTCTTATGGTTCATCAGCTTCGCAAGTTGGTTACTGGATGCATTCGCAAGCACATAATCACCCCATACTCACTTCTGTCTCGAGAACGGGTAAGCAGTTTAATTTATTAATTTATTTATTTATTTATATACAAGAAGGTACATTGGGGGTTAAGATAGTACATAGTAATGAAGATTTTACATTCTTGTAAAGCCACTAGCACGCATAGCATTTCGGGCAAGTCCTTAATCTAACGGATAATTTTAAGTCGATAATTTCCAGTAAAATTGACAAAGAATGTTTACAGGTACATTGTAAGAAATTTTTGACACAATAAACAAAGATTAGATTAGTACACAATAACACTGACATGGATTACTAGGTACATTAGGGTAAAATTTCAAGGTTATCAAATTGGTTCATTGTAGCACAATTTGAGCATCATTTCAAGGAATAATGCAGTAGAATATCCACTCAATATAACAACCATGATATCAGATGATATAAAAAAAATACAATGGTAAAGTTATATGGCTTAGGTACATATATTGGGGATTGGATAATACTAGATACAGTGAAAGTTAAAGCACTAGGTAGGAAACTATGAAGATGAAATTAGGTACTTTTTGGTTTTGTTTTTGAATAAGGCAAAAGTTGGACAACTTTTCAATTCGTTAAGGAGCAAGTTCCATAGACTAGGTCCCTTTATTTGCATAGTGTTTACTCAGATTAAGTTTGACTCTGGGGATGTCAGATATTTGTCTGGTGTGGTGATTGTGTTCTATTACAACTTCCAGGAAGAGTTTCAGAATAGGGTTTGCACCTAAGAAAAGGGTTTTGAAAATGTAATTGGCGTAAGAGAATGTGTGGAGTGAATTTATGTTTAGCATGTTAATGGATTTAAACAGGGGAGCTGTGTGTTGTCTGAAAGCAGAGTTTGTTATTGTTCTGATAGCAGATTTTTGTTGGGTGATGATGGGCTTGAGGTACATTGCAGAGGTTGAACCCCAATGCACAGATACCATAAGAAAGATAGGGATAGATACGTGCATAATATAATGAGAGGAGAGCAGAGTAAAGTACATATCAGATTTTAGAGAGTATACCAACTTTTTGAGACTTAGTTATGTGTTGTATGTGGGTGCTGAAGTTGAGTCTCTTGTCTAAGTATAGGCCAAGGAACTTTCCATCATTTTTACTGCTGATGTTAACATTGTCTATGTGAAGCTGAATTGCATTTGTTGATTTGCTTATAAATAGGATGAAGTAGGTCTTTTCTATGTTAAGTGTGAGTTTGTTGGTTTGACATCCATAAGTGGACTTTTTTTAATTCATTATTTACGACATTTAATGTGTGCAGGTTGGAGTCTGAGTAGATGAGGGTAGTCTTATCAGCAAGCAATATAGGTTTAAGCACATTAAAGACATTAGGCTGATCATTGATGTATATAAGAAATAGGAGAGGTCCTAGGATGCTGCCCTGTGGCACCCCCTACGGTTAATGATAGTGGGAGAGGCTATTTCATTGATTGCTACATATTGGTGTCTGTCACTAAAATAGGATCGGATATGCAGACGAGGAGTCACAATAACATGACTGAAATATGTTGACCAAACCACACACTAGAAAGTGAAGGGACGACGACGTTTGGATCCGTCCTGGACCATTCTCAAGTCGATTGTCACACAATCGACTTGAGAATGGTCCAGGACGGACCGAAACGTTGTTGTCCCTTCACTTTCTAATGTGTGGTTTGGTCAACAGGATCAGATATAATTCAGGGCAAGGCCTCGAATTCCATAATGAAGTTTAAGAGGTAGTTATGGTTAACAGTATCAAAGGCCTTTCTCAGGTCAATGAAAAATCTAATTGGAAACTCAGTTTTGTCAAGTGCTGAGTAGATTAAGTCAAGCAGGCTGACAATTGCATCATTGGTACTCTTTTAGGAGTGAAAGCCAAACTGATAGGGACTTAGTATGTTGAATTTTACGAGATAGGAGTAGAGCTGTTTGTAAATACTTTTTTCAAATATTTTTGATAATATAGGTAGATTTGATATTTGTTGGTAATTGTTTGTCTGCCGGATTGCCTCCTTTATGAACTGGCACTACTCTTGCTTTTTTAAGGATATCAGGGAAGGTATGACACTAGAGATTTGTTGAACAGCAAAGCTATGGGTGGTGCAAGGGCATGGGAGACGCTTTTAAACCATGGATGGTATTTCACCAATGTTCCCAGCATTGGTTTTTAGTGAGTGAATGATGGACACATCTGTAGGGCTGACTGGGGAGAAAAGAGAGTTCAGGTAGTGGCCTGATAGATATGTGGTAACATGTGTCCGAGTCTGTGGGACTTTTCGGGCAAGGTTAGTACTGTACCAGTTTTTGAAAAGCTATATAATTTAGTTGCTGTTTCTAGATCTGTTGCAGGTGTAGTACCTTCCTTGGAGATTTATATCTAGTTATGTGAATGTTGTTTAGCTCCTAGGATGTTAGAGATGTGCTCCATGTGCTTTTCATGTTGCCTTTTGCTTCTTTGAATCTATTCTCATAATAGGAAATTTTGCTTTTATTATACTGGTAAGCACTGATGAGTACCTCTTAACTACTTTGCAACTAGGCCAATCCTAAGTTGTTTTTTTTTCATATTCATGTTTCTTGTCGATTGCTTTGAGTATGCCATTTGTAAGCCAGGGATTATTTAACCTTTTGCCAGCTACTTGCTTGGCAAGGAGAGGAAAATGAGTTATTGTAAAGGTTTAGAATTTTGGAAAGGAAGAGGTTAGTTAATAAATTTATATCCTGTGTACTATTAAATTCAGATTACTAGTTTACATTGTGGAGGGCTTTTGTGAGATTGTCTATTGCTGCTTCACTGTGCAACCTAAAGATAAGTTTCTTGTTAGCTGGTGGTGTTATGTCCATGTTTGCTATGAGGAAGGTAGGATAGTGGTCAGTTGTTATACCAGATGTCTGCGGGGCCTGGTGATTGTGGGGATTAGCATACAGGAGTTCATGTTGTTTAGGAAATAGTCGACTTGAGAGCTATTTTGTTGACACAGGTCAATATTGAAATCACCTCCCAGAATGATGTGATTTTTGTTGAGGTGGTTGTTCATAAGATTCCTTAGGTTATCTGAGAATGCAGTTATGTTTGTATTAGGAAATCTATAGATGGCTCCAATAGTCAAGGAGGATTTAAGGGATATAGTAGAGAATTGAGCAAAGGTATATTCACAGTAGTCATATCTATCACTAATGACACTATTACAGATGATGGTATCTTGGCAATATATAGCTGTGCCACCTCCTTTTTATAGGCCTACAGTTGTGAATGGCTTTATAACCAGCTAAGCTGTAAAGTTGGGTATGGTCTTTACTTAGCCAGGTTTCTGCTAAAATAATGGACAATAGTTTAGTACCTAGGGCTGTGAGTAGTGCATTTATATCATCAAAATATTTACCAAGTGATCAGACATTTTGGTTGAAAACTGATAAGTAAGTGTTATTTTGGAGTTTGTTTTTTGCCTGGTGTGCTGTGTAATACCTGCGGTAGTGATCTGTACGGGGGTTATTATAGAATTGACAGTAGATTTTGTTCAGGATCAATATCAGCTTGCATGTGGTGCAATGGAGTCAAGGTGCAATTACAGAGCAGTAAAATACTAAATCTGTTGAGACGCTTGACTCTGTTGCCAGTACGTTGTTGCTGGGACACCTGTCTCTTTGAGTCAGAAGAGCCTGGCTTATCTCCTTCCTCCTCCCTGGTAGGTAAGAAGGCTTCGCTTTCTTCCTCGCCCCCTACCTCTGACACACTCGCTCCATCCCATCCCGTTTCAGTGGTTGCGCCCTTTGTTCCTGCTATAGAGGTTTCTTTGGCCTCCGCTTCCCTCTCGGTTGCTGCCCTTGCTGAGGTGCACTCCCTGGTTTCTGCCCCTCCTGCTGCTGTCCTTGACTCTCGGTTGTCACCCCTGCCTCGTCCTCCGGACCCTGCTCGTCCGCCTCTGGTCGGTCCTCCCGCTACCTTCCCTTCATCCTTACTCAGTTTACCTATGCCCCCTAACCTTGACTTCGCTGACCCTGATATTGATCTTTTAACATGCTGTGTTCCTTTTTCAACTTTGTTTCTTCATTATCCTCTGTTGCTGTCCTTTCTCTTCTTGTCAATGTCTATTCTTCAATGGAATATTCGCAGATATTACGCCAATTTCTATGAACTCCAGCTTCTGATTTCACAGTTTTCGCCCCTTTGTGTGTGTGTGTCTCCAGGAGCCGATGTTTGGTGCCCATCCTGGTCGCTTCCGTGGCTATTCCTTTCTCTCCCCTCCCCCGGATTTTGCTGGGGCCCGTTCCTCTTCTGCTCTCTTGATTCTTTCCGATGTTCCCTTCGTCGTCCTACTTTTTCCGTTGCCTCATCAATATTCTGCTACACATGTCTTTGTGCGTGAATGGTACACGGTTTGTTCCATTTACCTACCCCTAAATATCCTGCTTTCTCTTCCCAATTTTAAACACCTATTGGACTCCTTGCCCGAGCCTGTGCTCCTGCTGGGTGATTTCAGTTGACAACATAACCTCTGGAGTGATGTTCTGACAAACACGACAGGGTTTACCTTCTCAAACCGTTCATCCGCCTTTCTTCCCTGTCTCTTCTGAATTCTGGTGAGCCCACTCATTTGGACTCTCGGACTCGCACCCTTTCCTGTCTTGATCTTTCTCTCTGCTCGTTGTCTCTTTACTTGGATCTCATGTGGCGGGTTCTTGATGACCTCCATGGCAGTGACCATTTTCCCATCCTTGGTACCTTTTTTTCTTTTCACCCTTCCCTCTCCTTCCCTAGGTGGCAGTTTGCTAAGGCAGACAGACTGGAACTTATTTACCCTCCCTGGTGCTCTCTCTGACCTCGCCATTCTGCCTCTCCTTCGTGCCCTCCTCCTTTTTCATGACACCATCTTCAACGCTGCCCCCGGCTGTATTCCTCGCTCTTCCTCTCAGGGCCTACAGAAGTGCATTCCCTGGTGGAATGTGGACTGCTCGGGCTGTCCGCTGTAAGCGTGTAGCCTGGAAGAGAGACCAACGCCAGCAGACAGGTGATTCTTTTTTTTGTTTTGTTTCGGAAAGCGAGTGCAGTGGCCCCTAGGGCCATCCGTACAGCTAATAGCGAGTGTTGGAAGTCTTACGTTTCCACCGTTACGTCTGACACTCCTCTGCCGCAGTTCTGGAAGTGTGTGTGTAAGATAGCCGGTAAATTCGTTCCCGATGTCTCGCTGGTCCTTCACCTCCGAGGTACTCTTGTAGCAGACCGGTTACAGATTACGACCGAACTGAGTTCCAACTTTTCTTCTATTAGCTCTGGTTCTCATCTTCCTCAATCTTTCCTTCTTCGTAAACCTGTCCTTGAATCTCGTCCTTTAGATTTCTGCATTCATCTCAGACATCCCTAGAAGGATCCTTTCTCTCTCTCTGAACTTCAGTCTGCCCTGGCCCTCTGCAGTTCTATGGCAACAGGCTCCGATGGCATTCATTATGAGATGCTTTGCCATATCTCTCCGTGCACATCTCGGTATTTACTGAGTCTGTATAATCGGGTCTGGGAGTTGTCGTCAGTCCCTGCGAACTGGCTCGATGCCGTTGTCCTCCCTTTTCAGAAACCAGGGTCTCTTGGGACATCCCCTAAGGACTTCCGCCCTATTGCCCTCACGAATTGTCTGCAAACTCTTTGAACGTATGGTTAACGTTCTTAAAACACGGTGGTTCTTAAAACACTATCACCACCTCTCCCCTTCTCAATTTGGTTTTCGCAAGTGCCGCAGCACAACAGATGTCCTGGCGAACTTGGAGGTCTATATTGATACGGCTTTTGCCGTGAAGACCTCCGTTGTTGCCATCCTTTTTGATCTGGAAAAGGATTACGACACCACTTGGCGAAATATACTCTGTCCCAACTTCATTCATTTGGCCTTCGTGGTAAACTCCCACTTTTTCCAAAGCTTCATCTCTCATCGTTCCTTTCGAGTGAGGCTTGGTACCACTCTTTGACTCTTTTTCAGCAATACGAGGGGTGTGCCCGAAGGTAGTGTTCTGAGCACTATTTTTTTTTTTTTTTTTTTGGTTGCCCTCAAAGATCTTTTCTCTTCCTTCTGGCGTCTTCTCTCTGTCGACGATCTTACCCTTTGCTGTCGGGGTGATGATTCGCCTCTCCTTCAACGGCGGCTTCAACTTGCGATTGGTGATCTGTCGTCTTGGGGCCACTGATCATGGCTTCAGGTTCTCTACGTCTAAGACTTGTGCTATAACCTTTACTCGGAAGCGTGTCGTTCTTCATCCCTCTGTCACTTTATGGTCTTCCCCTTGTGTACAAGGATTCTGCTAAGCTTTGGGGTTAATCTTTGACACTCATTTGTCTTGGTTGCCCCATATCTCTTGCCTCAAAGTTGAATGCTCTAAGGCCCTTACGCTCCTTCAGGTATTGTCCCATACTTCTTGGGGAGGGGATAGGAGCATACTCCTCGCTTTACATTCCTCTCTCGTCCTGTCAAAACACGATTATGGTTGCCCCTGCTTACTCGTCTGCTTCTCCTTCTTCTCTTCGCCGTCTTGATGCTTTGCACCATACTGGGTTGCGCCTCAGCTCTGGTGCCTTTTGTTCGACTCCCACCCTCGGCTTGTATCTTGACACTGGCTACTTATCTCTCCAGGACCGCCGTGATCACTACTGTCTTCGCTATCTTGCGTGGTCCTTGCTACATCCTTCCTCTCACTTGTCGTGCTTTAACTTTTACCCCTCTTGTGGTTCCTGTGCCTCATCACCTCCCTCTTTGTCCGATTATCTCGCTTACAGGAGTCTTTCAGTTTATATTTCTAATATTTTTCCTCGTGTTCCTTCCTTGTCCCCGTGGAGAGTCCCCCTTCCGAAGTTTTGTGCATCCTTGACCTGCATCTCTAAAGCTTTTACCCCTCCTACGGTTCTGAAACACCTTTTCCTTGAGCACTTTTCTGCGCACTCCCGCTCCATTTCCATTTTCACCGATGGGTCTGTCTTCGGACAGTGTAGGATACTCTGTTGTTTTTCTTGACAGCACTTATATGTGGCGCCTACCTCCGGAAATTAGCATTTTCACAGCAGAACTTTATGCTATTCTCTGTGCTTCGTCTCCTGCTTTCTCATTCAGACTTCCTTTGTAGTTGTTGTTGACTCGCGTAGTGCCCTTGTGGCTCTTGGGTCCTTTAATCCGGTCCATCCAGTGGTCATTGAGATTCTGCATTAGCCGTTTATTATTTCCAGTAAATTTAAGTCAGTCAATTTTTGCTGGGTTCCCAGCTATATTGGTCTCTTTAAATGAGTGTGCGGATGCTGCTGCTAAGGAAGCTGTCCGCTCTTGTCCCATCTCCCGTAAAGGTATTCCTTATTCTGACTTACCCAGTTATTCATTCCTCCGTCCTTACTCCTTGGTAGGATTGTTGGTCTTCTGTTACTGGTAAAAAACTGTATTCTTAAGAGTAGTGTGTTCTCATGGCTGTCCTCCTACCACCGTAACCGGCGATGGGGAAACGGCTCTGGCGAGGTTGCGTGTTGGCCATACATGCTTGACTCGTGGTCACTTAATGGAGCACCGCCCTGCTCCTTATTGTCCAAATTGCATTGTCCCTCTTACGGTTGTGCATATCCTTGTTGAATGTCCTGACTTCCAGGACAAGCGTATCTTGCTTTCCGACCGTCCCTCGCTGTCACTTGTCCCTTGATAGAATTTTTAAATTGGATACTTTTGATATCGTTCGCCTTATGCATTTCTGTTCTTGTATTGGCATCTTTAGCACCCTCTGATTATTTGGCACATTTGATGGTGCTACATAGCCTTCCCTGTTTGGTGCCTTCTTTTGATAATTACTTTATTTAATAATGTCACTGCGTGTTCAGTATATATACAGTAGTTGGATGGGCTAATGCACTAGATATGTGTAAGATTTATTATAAGAAGCATGTTGTTTAACTTTATCGGCTATTGTCAGTTTTACACTGCATGTGTAAAATAGTTCCTAGATTTCTCTGAATTCTTGCCTTAACTTTTCATTCTTTATTTAATGGTATTTAGTTCAAAGATTATTCAGTATGATCTTTGTTTCTTACAAGATTCTGTCTCTTTCTGTCTCTCTCTTTCCTGTGTCTCTCTTCTCAGCTTGTTTCACAAAATGGCTTCTTTTTCCCTTGCTACTTGTAGTAGTAGATTTATCATGTTTATAAAGGGTCATTAAGCACAAGCTAATTTCTAAAAGTTTGTTGAAGTTTAATAGGAAAACCTTGTTTTGAGAATAGTCTTATGATTTCTAGTACTGTATCTTACTGTGAAAATTGGAATGACTGCTTTTGGCCCCTTTCTTTGTTGGTTGAATAGGTCAGCTGTTAGTAACAACTGATGTCTTGTACACCAGTTGTCACTAAGTCTTATTTTTGCTACTACAACCTCTTGTAGTTCATTTAAATGTTATTTTATTTTAGACAAGTTTGTCATTTAATATTTTTTCTTGACAGCCTTTAGCCTTAATAGCCTGGGGCTGCAGCCTGGAAATGTCTACTGTTGACAAAAAAGAAGTCCAAACATTCATCAAGGAACGTGCTCTACATGGGCCAGAGGGACACTTCACGAAAGATGGAAGTTATAAGGAAGGTCTTGTTAGAAAAGCTGAATATCCTTCAGGCTCCGAGAACAAGGATTCTAATCTTTGTCCATCGTAAATGTGTGAAACCCAAAGATGAGTTGCCTTCTTTAATTTTGATGTTTAGTGCTTCTATTTTTTCTTATGCTAAAAGTTTTCATCTTTTCACCAATACTAGGACAAGTGTTCTTTAAAAAGAACTAAGAACTTGTTATTGAAATATAGATTCCATTAACCAGAGATATTAAACTATTCAGGATAGGTGTAGTAGATTTTTACTACTTTGGTTACACTGATAAAATGATAATAATGATAATTGTATGAATTGGTTTACTTGGCAGTAATATTAGATAATGTGGGAAGATAACCACCATTTATGAACACTTCCTTAAGCTGAATGAGTGCAGAATACACAAAGCCATTTATATTTTGAGTTAATTTGAAGCATTACTCTAATGAAGAATCTCAAGTTTATTTGTTATAAACAATGGGAAAGTTAATTATGACAGTTCTGAGGAACCGAAATGCGTAAGCTAGGTTCACTGAAAATGTAGTACAGTTGTAAAAGAAGAAATAATGAAATCCATGAAAGCTACTGATAGTGTGTGATTTACTGAACAATGTACTTTACCCGTACTTTAAAAAGTTTTCCCTGAAAATTAACTTTATAAATTTAGGTGAACTTAAAATCTTGGTTACCTGTAATAGGTTTTGAAGTGTAAAAGTGAGTGCATGTAATTTATAAAAAAAAATTAGGATATATATTTTTGTAAATATTCATAGTTATTTTCACATTAAAACATTATTTGGCTAATCTGTCAAAAGATTAGCAGCTAGTATTTTAATTTATGTCCATAGAAGAGTATATAATTTGTACAGTATGTAACTGGCATATTTTCTATGAATATTTTGGTAATTAAATTGACTTAGTTCTGGGCTCTTACATCAGTTAAATTTTAGCTTGTTAATTATCTTTTTATCGATATTTATGTAAATTGGTATGAAATTTTAAATTTCATTCTTGTACAGTAGTTTCCAAATTTGCATGGCTATTTAATTTCTAGATATGGCATGCATTTAAATATACAAAGACTCAATGATTTTAAGGTATAGAACATGTATAGGTAAAGGAAGGCTGCAGTTGAATAACCTCCAAGGCTCTTTGTCTCATTATTTCATAAAATACTTATATGAGGATACTAAATAGCACTGACATATTCCAGCAACAAATACTCTGTACTTAATTTAAAAAAAAAAAAAAAAAAAAGGCTTCTAAACTGTTCTAATTGGCATGTTTCATATATTTTGATCAACAACCATATTTCTTAAATGTAATAAGTGAAAACTATAACTATGGAACTGGTAAAATATATGTACAGTATATATATTTTTGGTGGTGAACTCTGGTAGTTAATCTGTACTTATGGTTGATGTAATGTAACCTTTTTGGGTATACTGTGTGTATATATATTATATATAATTTATATTATAGGACTAACCTGATGTTAAAACATTGGTTTAATTCGTCGTGTGCTCGGAAATTTGAGATTCAAGTTAAGTTTGGGCATCTTCCCCAAAACAATAAAAATGTCTTGTTAAAAAAAGATATATATACACCAATACTGTATATTACATACTGTGCAGAAAATCCAGAGAAATGTGAAAGGAAGTGAACGTTTCAGCCTGATTAAAGCCGTTGTCAACATCAGGCCGAAACGTTTACTTTCACATTTCTGTGGATTTTCCGCATAAAAATGATCAGTGTTTTGTGATCGTCAATTGCATTGTAACACTGTAAGGTGTTTGGTTTAGTTTATTTAAAATATATATAGAATATGAGTCAGAGACAGGGATTTGGGAAGGCGCCAGTTGTCTGCCGGAGATCTCACACCTCTAAAGAGTTAATGACCCCAAGTGACCTGAGGTCAGATCATGTGAATTTCACCTTGCTTTTGCTAATCTCATAATTGGAGCCTGGTAGCCTTCAAACATGCCGACGTTTAAGGAGTGGCTTGGTAGAGTGCCGGAGGCTATCTACTTGTGGGCGGAGTTAGCTACTAGGTTCCCCAATATATACTCGGAGAGCTATCGATTCGAGAGCATTAAAAGCAATAGGAGACCAGCCAGCGGAGCAGAGCAGAGGCCAGCCGTCGAGATAGGCTGTCACCAGACGGGGGGTGACGCTGCTTGAACATTGCAGACTCCCCCCCCCCCCCTCTCTATTCAACTTAGGCAGAGACACTTGGTGAGTTGAGCAGTAAGGTGACTTGGCCGTGTTTTACAAGTGTTGTGTGATGTTCAGGGGCAGTCAGTTGTAGTGTTCTCAGATTCTTGGAGGATGACTCACTTTACATATATAGATCTTGAACATTGCTTAAATTATGATACTTAGTATGTGAAATATAATTGGATTTATTATTTAAATTGCCTTTGTGTCCCCTAGAGTGTTGAGTTGGGATGAGAAAGCCTCTGTGGTTTCATGATTTAATGAGTACATGTTTGGAGTTGATACATGATAAAGATGGGACAGATTAATAATGACCTTGATAACATCTTTTGAGAATTTTGTGATAGACAAGTTCCATTCCTTGTCTTGTATATGATGATCTAGAATGGATGGTGGCAGCATTTCGTCTTCTACTATCTACTCTTCTACTTCTACTATCTACTCTTCTACTTCTACCTATCTACCCCTCTCCCTCCACCCCTCTCTAAACTCTCACTTTCAACTAATGACCTTCCTCGCTCCTCCCACCTCTCTCCTCTCTCACCCCAAACCTTCACTAATTACTTCACTATTCATTTCTTCCCTTTCGTTTTCTCTTATACATTTGTGGTAATGATTCTGTATTCTAGAGTTCTCTCTAGAGTTTCGGGTAACTGATCAAGTGACGGCGCCTTGTAGTCTTAGCACCTAGGTAGTCAAATACCTAGGTTACAAGGTGTTGAACGAGAGAGGTTGCCTTAGGATCTCTGGGATTTCTCTAGAATAGTTAGCTAACTGGGGACGGGATAACGGACTAGAGAGAGCTATTTCCCCCGGCCTCGTTAGTTAACTGGGGGGTGGAATAATGGACAAGATAGAGCTATTTCCCCCCACCCCCCGTTACAGCATTACGAACTGTATATATTATATACATTCATATATTAGTGTTAAATTATTGATCAATTTTGTTACTAAACCTGATATTAAAACATTGAATGTGGTGTGCACTCAGGAATTTGAGAGATTTATGCAAGTCAAAATTTTGTACATCTCCCAATATATATATATATATATATATATTTATATATATATATATATATATATATATATATATATATATATATATATATATATATATATATATATATATATATATAAACACATTCAATGTTTTAATATCAGGTTTAGTAACATAAAATTGATCAATAATTTAGATTATCTGGCATATTTTTTACTTTCTATTAAACAGAAAATACTATTTTAAATTGATGTTAAACAGGTTTTTGATATAACACTAGTAATTTCTGGTCATGGAGTTTTGTTTTCTCATTTGAGTCCCTTAGTAGGGAGGACAAATGCCAATTCAATACAGGATAAACATTCCTACTGGGTTGTATTGCATTAATTTTAATAGTTCTTTCTGTGGTAGACAGCAAAGTCAGTTCAGTTGGCTTCGTTCTTGAATCACAAAATGGTATCCTGGGGTTTTGTTGATTTGTGTTGAGAGTTGCATTCTAGGGCAACATAGTACATGCCTACAGTATATACACCTGATAACAAGAATGAATAAATTTAAGCATATCTTTTTTGTTGTGGAACTGCAGGATTCATGAAAATTGTAACTTTAATTTGGTATACTACCTAGATATACTGTACAATGTTATAAATACAAAGTAGTCAAACTGGTAGGAATAAATCTTTGTTAGATTGACTACCAAATTAACGATATTAAATGTAGTTGGAAGCTGTGATTGTCGGCATAAAGACGTTAATTTTGACTTCCTCTGTCATGACGGGGACCTTCATTTGCATAATGGAAATGTTAGAAACTGGATAATTTGTAGTTACTATTTATTCTTGGTGGCATCTTTTGACATCCATGCCTCTTAAATTCTAATAAAATACTCCAGTTCTTGTTAGTATTATTTGCAGCCTAGATTTATGCGATGCGAGCAAGAGGGGCGATGCGAGCAAAAGAGGGTGATGCATCACCCTCTTTTGCTCGCATCGCCCTCTTTTACTCGCATCGTCCTCTTTTACTCGCATCGCCCTCTTGCTCGTATCACTGGCATCGCCCTCTTGCTCTCATCACTGGCATTGCCCTCTTGCTCGCTTCACTCGCATCGCCCTCTTTGCTCGCTTCACTCGCATTGCCCTCTTTGCTCGCATCACTCGCCTCGCCCTCTTTGCTCGCATCACTCGCCTCGCTCGCATCACTCGCCTCGCCCTCTTCGCTCGCATCACTCGCCTCGCCCTCTTCGCTCACATCACTCACCTCGCCCTCTTCGCTCGCATCACTCGCCTCGCCCTCTTCACTGTTGTTGAATTTGAAGTCTCAAGCTTGTGTTACTGGGTTCAGTTTTGTGATAGACAAATTGTGTATTTTGTTCTCTTGTCCATCTGTCCATCATTTAAATGAAAACATGTACATAAATTACACTTCTTGAAATTGAAAGTTGTACCTTATTAATGACTAGTTTATCATTTTATGAAATATAATTATTTCATGGTGAGCATATATATAGAGTAAATATTCAACTGAATTTGCAGGGCTTGTACAGCAGCCCTCCAGTCAAACAATATATGTATTGTAGCAGCATGTTGTGAAGCTCTGTATTATGAATAGGTATGATAAACACAAGTTTGTTCTTGGAGGAAATTGGATATTGATACCAAGTCAATTAAGTCTTGTAGCTCACAAGAAGATAAGTAAGTGTAAGACATTTTGTTGTTCTGCATATGTTCATTAGGCAACACTTGCAAATATTAATATTTTGTGGAAACAAATATTGCAAATCACTGTGAGATGCATCTTGAAAGTTTTTGCGAGTGTATGATGTTGGGTGTGTAGATTTGCTCCTAATGTTGTTCGAGTCGAGTCTCTGATGTCGAGGCACGGGAGAAAAACCAAAGTAATTAGGTGGCAAGCTGCTGTTTTATTCCAAACAGCTCCTCTTAGGTTAGGTTTACTTGTCCTTAGTTGAAGAAGACGAGAGAAGATGGGCCTTAAAAAATATAGTATATATATTAAGAGAAATTGCTGACCATGTCACCAATGTTGATGCTGTAATCTCATACATATCTTGTTTAGAACTTAGTAGTGCTTTAGGTCACATCCAATACTGATAGAAGAAAGCTGAGGTTCTGATTGTCTTGACTTGTCAGGTGTAGATGGCAATAGAAGTAATCTAATGATATCAAAAGAGGCAGAACAAAGATCCTTAGCAGATTGTATCATTTATGGGTGTTGACATGTTCTCATCTCCACAATCCTCCTCCCTTGTTGTTCTCGTGCTAATGGCAGCAGCAGGGTTAATGCAATTTGAAACTTTACGAATTTGTGGATTTTTCACAGATGTTATCTAGAAGTAAGAATAAGGAATATTTAAGCCTTATGAAAAATCCTCAAAATGGTGAAGGAGGACTAATTACCACACAATGATGTATGTGTGTTGATATTTAATTTAAAGTGATAAATGGCTGGCCGGTGACTAAACTCTTGAGAAGTCAAGCCTGGCCTCAGGCTGGGCTTGGGGAGTAGAATAACTCCCAGAACCCCATCCAGCAGGTCATGTTTTGTTATACAAGCTGTTTATCGTATCATAGTATGGATGAAGAGTTGTTGAATGTTCTGCCCTTATGTCCTTAACATAAAGATGTTGATGACTGATGATTACCAGTGAATTAGGATCCCCAGGCCAGTTTGATAACAAAAGGTGATTAAAATATGATATTTATGCTTAGGCATATTGCACAGACTGACCATAGAGGCCAACTAGAAGAAAATAATTGAGAATTGTAGACGTGTACTCAAGTAGGTTTGTTTTGAATTTATTGTACCTCAGTGATATTAGCTTTAATGCAGTGGCATCTTGTATAAGCTAAATTTGTCATTCAGTTTAGGATTATTATCATTAAAAATTAAGAGGTGTTTGGCAGTAGTTAAAAATGTATGTGAATTCTTTGAGAAAAGGTTTGGTTATTGAGATCCCCCAAAAACATTTATGATTAATCTAAAGAGCTTTTAATTAATACAGTGTCGGTGACAATATGTTTAGCCTTTGAAAGACGAGTTTGTTTATAATATAACTTGGGGGAAGATGCGCAAACGTGTTATAAAGATGGAGAGACAAAATTGAAAGTTTAAGGACTTATTTTATTTGTATTGAAAAGTATGATATTAAATCGCCTTAAATGTGCTGATGATGAATCCTAGAGAGAGTGAGAGAGTGAGCGAGCGAGCGCAGTTATCATGTTGTTGTTACATGTGTGAGTTTTACAAATTATTGTTAACATATTTTGTAAATGACCTCCTATTATCTGTATTCCCTACGATCTTAAAGGTAATTTGCTGTGTTTTAGTCATGGTGCCATGCTGATAATTGATTTTTAATATTT